CTCACCATTGCAGAGGCTGGCTTTGAACTTGTGATCCTCCTGCCTCAGCCTCCCCAGCTGCTGGTATTACAGGCATGCACCACCAAACTTGATTGTTTTGTTTTTAAATATATACATTTTATTTAGAGTCAGGTCTTTCTAAGTTGCTTAGAGCCTTGCTAAGTTGTTGAAGCTGACTTTGAACTTGTCATCCTCCTGCCTCAGCTTCCTAAGCTGCTGGGATCTCAGGTGTGCACCACTCTGCCCGGTTTAAGTAGAACTATTTTATCAGGCAAATGGGAATAAAGGGAAGGAGGAGTGAAGATGGAAAAGAAGGAGAGTCAGTAGGAGAAGTTTGACCCTTGTTTGATATCCAGAGGGACTGATGGTTCAATCCCATGGAGCCACAGGGATTGAACCATCAAAATCTCAGACCAGTCCATAAGGGGAGGAAATGGGAGAATTTACCTTTGCACTCTTGCCTTACCTTGGTCAACACTGCTTTTGTAAATATTTTGAGAGTGGGCACTGAGCAGGTCTGCAATATTGCAAGCCTTGGCTCCATGGTGATGGGAAATGAGGCAAGAGACACATAGTGGCAGCATGAGAAATAAGATGCTGTCAGGTTGCACCTGCAAAAACTTGGTCAGAGCCCACAGAACACTGGAACTGGAGGCCAGAGACTTCAATGACAAGTAAAGCCAAAAAAACTGAAGAGATCCATCAGAGATGTCATATGCATCTTTGAAGTCCAGAACAAAGGAGGTAAGAGTCCTCTTTCATTGAGGCTCAGTCAATCCATACCCAAATAACTGCATCAGTGTGTAGGAAATCATTATAAGAGAGGAAAAAACAAACTAGAACACATGCAGGATCAGGGGTACAAAGGTCAAAATCATTTACATATATAATGGGGGTTAACTTGGAAAACAAGATTCTGGGTGGATCAGAAAATATTTTCATGCATCCTACAAATAAGTACTATGTTTGAAATCAACGGGCAGTGGTCACAAATTGGCAGTTATTGATTCAATGTGAAGAAAAACACTTGAACAGTCCCAGATGTGCATGGATGGGCAGTTTAGGGGTATATTGAAGTCCCTCAATTGGTGGGGATAGTGTGTAGTGTTTTAGCATTGAATATTAGATGGACAATATGAGTGTTGGAGCTCACTGCAATGCTCTGTACACAAATCACCATGATGGAGAAAACCAAGAGTCTTCTCAACCGGTTTCTAGAGAGAAAAATTTTACTTCTTACTTAACAGGGGTCTGTGTATGGAAAGTTTAAAGGCTCTTGAAGAGCAAAAGGAAGACCAGCGGGAATGTCTGGCAGACTAAGAAAGCATACAGCTTTTGACAGAATCTGTTTTAACCAAATGTTTCTTAATATTCACTTGGCATTGAAAGTCCAAAGTGAATAAAATCTATAATTCATTTTACAAGGTATTCACATTGGCCACATTTCCATATAGCTCTAGAACAAGCTTCCCCACCCAAGGAATGACACTGAAAACTTTTGTTCCCTTCATACTTTTATCATACCACAGAACATGAGAGATTAGATACGTATTTAATTTCAAATTTTTGAAATGTATGAAGACCCCACATATCAAATGCCATGGACCAGTAGCCATAGACATTATCACAGAAGGACAGATCACACAATTGGTGATTTCCCTCATTCCTTTCAGTTTAGGGTCAGAAAGGTAGTAAATATCATTGCTTCAAGCTGTGGCGATATATAGTTGCAGAGTCTCTAAGTCAGAATGAATTTTACAATTCCAAGATTCATCCGATATGCAAATCTTCTTAAAGAAAGAAGAAGTGATTGTCCTGGCTTGGTTTGAATAAGTCCTGCAATAGGGAAGTGGTAATTTCATATCTAGAACATTTTCCCTGTTTGATTCACTAAAAAAATGCTATCCTGTTGAAAGTAAGGATGCAGAAGATTCCCAGTTGGATCCTAATGGTGGACCTGTTATGTTCTAATTTGTTTAGAGTGTACAATTTGTATGAAAAGATGAAGATTTATGCATGAGGGAGTCAATAGAGCAAGGCAATGAGTGATCAAAAATGGACATGTGTGGCTCCAATACTTTATTTGCTTCTTTAATTCACTTATTCATTCATTCCCCAACTTCTTTCATAGAATAATCCAGGCTTAGTTTAGGCAGGTTTCCAAGAATGGACAAGATCCCCTGAGGCTGGAGTGGGCATAGAAGGCTTCAGGGAAGAGGCGGAATGTTCAGTGAGTCCTGGGGATGAGTAGAGTTTCCATGGAGATTCATATGAAGAACCAGAGGGGCAATGCAGGCAGGAGCAGCATTGCAACGGAACATAATTCAATGAGTCTGTCTCTGGTTTTGTGGGAAGTGAGCTCACAGCCCCATTAGAGATAAAGGGGCAACCAGTTGTGTTTAGGAAGATGGAGACCTATTGTGCAACACCTCTAGTGTTTTTCTCTCGAATCATTGGCCATGTGAAGTTTTCAATGCAATGCAATGGCAGAAAATAGATTCTGCCCATTAGTTCAGCATTTGTCCTATATAGAACCAAATCCTCACCATATAATCTCTTCCTGTCTTATAGGCAAATACTTTAACGCTTTCTGTGATTTTGAATTTACTGCACTAAGTACAGACCCCCTTCCTTCCACCCAGTTCGCTCTTCCTGTCTCCCTTTGTTCCCATCCCCCTGTTTTCTTTCCTTTCTCTCATGCTGGCCCTCTCATTATGCCTTCTTTTATCTTTCTCTGTTTTAATTCCTATACTTTGGGAGCTTCCTGTGATCTCGCTCCAGCATGGGCCAGCTAAGCTTCTCTAGCTGACAGTGTATTTCATGTGCTTTGTGTCACAGCGGGTGTCTTTGTTGCTTTGTTTTTCTTCAAAAGAAGTGTGTAGTGACATTGCAAATACATTCCATATTTAAGTAAAAGAAAAGCAATAAAAGCGTCAGTAAGGTAGTGGAGAGAGCTGACTTTTAGGACTCCTGAGGGTATTTCTGTACTGCCCCTATTCGTGCCATTTTCTGAGGTAACATAAATTTCAATTGCTGCTCTGCCTATTTTTATCCCATCAAGCATAGGTTATAAATTCTTAAGGTTATATAATTTTTCTTCCAGGTTTAGTACTATAAATTGTTGGTTATAGGGAATCTGCAAGAGAAGAAATGAGGTTGGAAAGGTTGTTCGATCTCCCAAAGCATTAGCTTGGTGGGATGAACAAGACAAACACTAAATTTTCTTTTTATTCCCTCCTTCGCCAGTGTTCTCCTGAGGACTTAGGAAGGCACAGGAGAAATATCACCTCCCAAAGGGTAGGCTCCATCACGAGAGAAATGGGCAGTTGTGATATTTTGAGGATAGCAAAAACAAGAATAATGAGAGGACTTTGTTGAAAGAATCATATTTGAAAGCAAGATGTCTTAATGCTTAAAAATTCATGAATCTTGTTGAAATAATTAGTGATTAATGATAATCTTATGGTTTAAAAAAACATAAGGTTTTGATATCCTTAAGTCTTAGCTAGTATACTCCATTTGTCTAGTAACCTTGAAATCAAAATGCAAATATTTTCTCCCGATAAATAAAACTGTCTTACTTTTATTTTAACCATTAGACTTCTCAAACATTTGCCAAACTCCATGACTTTTAAGTGAAATACATCAATTAGAATATATTTGTATGGTAGTTGCGGAAAACCCATATTGCCTTTCATAGTGACAGAAATGTATTGGTTCTTATAAATGAAAAGTCTAGAGGATGGGTGTTTTAGAAAGGAACTGGTCCAATGGATCCGTAATATCGCTGAGAAGCCAGTGCTTTTCCCCTCTATGAAGTTGGCTGCATCTTGAAGCCAGCTTGTTTCATGAACACAGGATGGCTCTCAGTGCTCACAGGGATGCAGGATACCTTTTGGCTCTCACAGGAAAAAGAAAGTTTCCTTCCACAGTGATCTACCAAAATGGTGAGCTGCAGTCTGATTAGACTAAGAGGACAAGTCTGCCCAACTCAGAGACTGGGGGAGGACTACACACTGTCCATGGCCTCCATTACACACCAGGCCCTGATTCAGTCACTATGATAAGGCATTAGCCAGTGTCCACTCTAGAAGTTCAGAAATTCTACAACACACAGGTACTTCAACATCAATGTAGGCAAGAGCTCTACCTGAGCTACATCCTCAGGCCTAAAGCACAATGTTTATTACAATAACCAAGATTTCCTCATTTATTGTACACCATAGGGACTATATAGTCAATGATAGTATAGTGTATTCTTGAAAATTGCTGAGAATAGTTTGAAATGTTCTCAGCACAAAAAAATAACAAGCAAAGTTATACCTGTTAATCAGCTCAACTGAGGGAGTCAACGTAGAAATTTCAAAACAACATATTGTACATGATAAATATCTACCATTTCAATTGGCCAAGTAAATAAATAAAATGTTTTTTTAAAGATACTCTTAGAAAGGGAGAATGGTAACAATTATTAAACAAGATAGATGCGTGAGGGTTCTTTATGCTCTTTTCTTTAGTTTGTGTACATTTGGATATTTTCATTTAAAAAAAGGGAAGAAAGAAACCCTACATTGTTAAAAACATTGGTCTTCTTGAGGATCCTGTAGTTTTGTGGTCTGTTAGTATTGTCATCTGAAAAGTCCATTCAAACTGTGTCTCCTGTAAAAGATGGCGCTTGTGTCCAGGTCTTATGTGAATATTGCTTACATAGGGAAGTGACCCCAAGGAATGGCAATGGGCATCCAGGAAGAGTCCAACAGGGAAATGAGGAAAACTGGTCACTGCGACAGGCTAACAGACTTGAGGACCCTCTGATGAACCAGTAGGACACAACTCAAGACTTGTCTCTTCCGGACAGGCAGGAGGGTGGTATTTATGCAGGGATTTTCATTGGTCCAGAGTAGCACACACTCCTAGGTGAGCACATGCATCATAATGACTGAGAAGATCCCAGTAGATGCCAAGGAGCCCTGTGTGCAGGTAAGCAAGATGCTGTTGGATTGTGTTCATGCTCAGCTAGTTGCCATGGCAAATGCTGGAATAAAAGGCCTTGGCAATAGGGTAGGTAAAGGTTCTGATACAGCCAGTGTGGTCAGAAAACTTGGCTCTATATCTGTAACTGCGCATCAGCTTCTGGATTCCCCACTAGACGACAGAAAGAAAATCAGGTATTATTTTCCCTGACACTCAATAAAGGGAATCATTCATGATAAGATTTTTCTCAGAATGTAGAAAAAATTTATGTAGCGTTTTTTAGCCTCCTGTCTCCTACCTCCTGCCTCACTCCAGCCAAGAAATCCCCTATTGATTTCTTCTTGAAGACCTCTGTGCTCCAGGTCACACTCAACTCCACATAAAAAGGTCCAGCTCAGCAATGGAGGAGTTAGACGTCATCTCAAAGGGGAGTCTACGGGGCTGCACTGCTTAAAATAAATGCCACATTCATCAAACATTAGAACTGGCACCTAGAAACCACAGAAAATTCATCTCACAATTCCCCTGTCTTTTTTTAAACCCCTATCCCTGAAGTATATAACAAATGATACTGTTTTAATTTATTTGATAAGACATGATGATAGAAAGAAGAACTCGAGCTGATACTATTTCTACCTAATTGATTATCTCCGGGGGGGGATTTGGAGTCACACAGCAGTATATAATAGGATTATTTTAGACTCTTAACTAATCTACCTATATTGAAGGATGTAAGTTCCAGCCCCTCTTCACTCTTCCCTTTGGGTTCTAGTTGGTGGAAAATGGCCCCAATGAATCAGAGGGTATCAACATATCAGCTTTATGAATGGTGGTCCAACAAAACCCCAAACACAGGGCTCCCTGGGAAAGCTGGACTGAGAAAATGACCAAGTCTGAGTTCAGTGTTGGGATATCCTACTAACACCCACTTATACTTAGATCTTGTGGCTCACTGGTGGGTAGAATTGGAAAAAATAAATAAGTCCTGAGTTTACTTACCTGAAAGTGGATGATCATAGAACTCTTCACACAGAGTATAGCTAGGAGATCATTAGTTCTGAGGAAATGTGGGCCTTCTGACTGTATCTAAAAGGTAGGTCACACCCTCAGGAGCAAAAAAAAAAAAAAAAAAAAAAGAGAGAAAGAGAGAAGAAGGCCTCTGTCCTTCTGACTGCTCTGGGAAGTGGACATTACCGTGAAAGTGGGAGAAAGTTCATGTTCTTTTTTTGTATTCCCACCCTGGTAAAAACATCAGTAGCAAAAACAGAATAAGTGAAAGAAAACAAGGGTCCTAAAAAATGCCTGCATAGATGCTAAGCCGTCAAGAGTCCACGAGTGTCTGTTCCTCCCTTGGTAAGGAACCCAGAAGGATGAAAAGAGATGAGGGCATGGATTTAGTTAGTTTGTTCTATCTTCTTGGCTCAGGATTATCACATGTGTGAAAGTGAGTCAGGTTGATGGTAGGTCTTAGAATCTCCAGCAAAATGGGTGAGATGGCCTACCGTTCACTAGAAAGAAATGTCCTGCCTTCATTTTGTAAAGTGATGTCCAGAGGATGCTGCCAAGCCAGCCTGCCTAGCCCACCCACCCACTGAGGCTACCCGTGACCATATGATGGGTTCTCACCAATGCAAGATAAAGAGATGTGATTTGTCACTTGGGACAGAGTTAGTTCCAAAGAAGGTGTATATCACCCATATTCTCCTTCCCCATCTACCCCCTGGACATGAAGGATTTTGAGGCTCTAAAAAAGGTAGAACTGAGTGTGGTTGTATACATCTGTAATCTCAGCAATTTGGGAGGCTAAGGCAGGAGAGTTTGAGTCTAGCCTAGCAACGGAGACTATCTCAAAATAAAAATTTTAAAAATGGGGGCTGGGGATATAGCTCAGTGAGTACAGTGCTTGCCTCCCATGCACAAGGTCTTGGGTTCAATCCCCAGTACTACAAAAACAAAACAACAGCAAAAAAAAATCAAAAAAGGCTATGGATATAGCTCCATGGTGGAGCACCCATTAAATCTCCAGTACCATAAAAAACAACAACAAAAAAAAAAACAAAAAAGGAAGGATGAGCCACCATATCAAAGGAGCATGAGTTTGAATCACTGCCTGCCTAGCACCAGTGCTGAACTGTTTCATGAGTGAGAAATAAGACCCTATTCATTAGGCCATTAAGATTTTACAGTTTACCTGCTTTATCATAGAGCATTATTCTACCTATAGCCATCCAAATTTGTTCTTGGAACAAGGTAGTAGGTTCTTGATGAATTCTTATGAATAAATGAATGAGTGAACATGCTTCCTTCCTTTTGGAAGCTTTTTTAGTGAATCTACATATAAGGAAGCAGAAAATGGTTAATGAGAAACCACAGATGTTGCTGAGAAATGGCTTTGTTGGAAATGCAACACAGGAATTCAACACAGAGCAAATTACTCCTGAATATTAAGAGACAGTGCTTCCAGATGGCACCCAGATCAGAAGTTGTCATTTATATGACAATAGGCATGGGACTTAAAATGACTCTCATCCCACAGAGGGGAAAAAAAGCATGAAAATCAGCTGCAGTAGTTAATTTACAATCCTGAAAGTTGCATTTTTAGCATTTGTGTAGCTCTAGGGAGCAAAAAATAAAAATTAAAAAGTTTTAAAAATACTAATATATGCAAAAATAGCCAGAACTCTAGAGAAGGCATTTATCTCTATAGCAGATGAGAAACTGAGATCTCTCTGCAGTTGGTCACAATGGGAAAAGTGAGAAATCAGGGCAATGTGATCTGCAGACCTTGTCTAGAGATGACGATTTTCTAAGATCCACCATAATGCAAGTCTCTCAAATAAGCTATGCTCCCACAGGCATCTGGGCCTTTGCCAGAGCAGTCTTCCAGTCTCACCAGCAAGGGCTCATGTCTTTCCACCTAGTCTTCAGTCTTGATTTCCGTTTAAATGTCATCTGTGTGAAGCCCTTATGGTTTTTCCTTCGTCTCCTTCTCTTCTGGATTGCATAGCATATCCTACAATTAGGGATCTGGGCAAATCTTTGCAGTTTTACATTTATAATGCATTTCCCCATCAGATTGAACTCCTTGAGGTTATGCCCTGAATTTGATTTATCATTGCAACCAAGGTGTGATACCGTGCTAAACTCATAGGAGTTCCATCATGCTTCCAAATGAACTGTTTAAATAAATAATTAAGAGCTTTGAGGAAATATCTCAATTTAGTTTAATGCACAATAGAATTTGTTTCTTCAAACTCAATGTTATTTTGAATAGTTTTAAATATTTTGAATGGTTTCAGTAAATGTAGTTTTTGTTGCTTTTCTGCTTGTTTTGTAAAGTAATTTAGGTTTTCTTTGGACACTTTCCCTCCCGGTAACTTCAAACACAGTAATATCTGAAAAAATAATTTGAACACATTAATTTTTTCCTATTGTTTTCAATATTTTAACATTTATTTTTCTAATAAAACATAATTAATTTTAGATGAGTTTTAGATTCATAGAAAAATTGTGAAAATAGTAAGTTCAGTAAATGTTTTAGTCTGCTTTTTTGTTGCTATAACTAAAGGATCTGACCAGAACAACTCCAAGGAGGAAAAGTTTATTTGATGGATCATTGTTTCAGGTCTTCATCCATAGAAGATCAGCTCCATTCTTCAAGGTTCGAGATGTGAGGCTCAACATGCTGGAGGAAGAGTGTGGAAGGGAAGCAGCTCACATCAGGAAGCAGAGAGAGAAACTCTACTCTCCAGATACAAAAATATATACCCCATAGCCACGCCACCAATGAACCTCTTCCTCTAGTTATCACTAAGTTAATGCTGATTAATTCACTGATTGGTTAAGACTCTCATAATCCAATAATTTCTCCTCTGAACCTTCTTGCATTGCTCACATGTGAGACATTGGGGGACGCCTCATATCCACACCATAACAGTAAGTTTCTTCATACTCCCACCAAGTTTCACCTATTACTGACATCTCACATTAGATAGAATTGGAGATTTGTTACAATTAGTAAACCAGCATTGATATAGTTACTAAGACCATTGTTTTCTCAGATTTCCCTATTCTTTACCTGACGTCTCTTTTATGTTCCAGAATCCCATCTACTTAGGTCTTCTTTTGATTGTGGCAGTTTTTCAAAATTTCCTTATTTTTGATGACCTTGATAGTTCTGAAGAACACCTGTCAAGCATTTGGTAGGATGATCTGTTGTTATTTGTTTGTCTAATGAGAGGAAGCCCATAGAGTGGCATTTTGTCCTACCTTATCAAGAGTACCTATGGTCAACATGACTTCTCACCGTTGATACTGATCTTGGCCACCTGGCTGGTGTAATGTTTGTCCGATTTCTCCACTGTACAGGTGCCACACCCCTTATTTTCCTTTGTCTTGTATTTAGATTAGGTTTCTTACAGAAGGTATGTAGTTGAGTCTTATTTTACTGATTTATGGTTGATTATCTCTGTCTTTTAATTCAGTGTTTAGAATATTCACATTTAATATACTATTGTTACAGTAAGAGTAATATGAACCATTTTGGAATTATTTTCTATTTGCTACACCTCTCACTTGTTTTCCCCTTCCTTTCTTTTTCTGTATTCTCTGATTTTACTTGGATATTTTATATCATTTCTCTCTCACCATATTATATTTTTTGAAAAAATTGAGTTGTTGCTCTAAAGTTTGCAATATAATTTACAAATTTCAAATGACAGTGTACCACTTCTCAGTTACTACAGGTATCTTATCACAGAATATCCCAAATTTATCTCCTTTTCTTCGTAAAATTGCTATCATTTATTTTACTTATAATATGCTTAATGACCCAATACATTGTTTCTATTATTACTTTGAAACAATTAATTTCATCTATTTGATCAATAAAGAATGAGAAAGATAAAATATTTTATTTTTGTTATTTAATTTTTTGAGCTTTATTTAGAAAAAAAGTAGATGTAAGTTTCTGACCAATATCATTTTACCTCTCTCTGAAGAATCTTCTTAAAAATCATTTCTTGCAAAGCAGGTCTATTGGTGATAAATTCTCAAATTGACTTGTCTGTAGAAGTATTTTTTCTTTACTTCAGTAAGTTAATTTTGCAAAATTTATAATTCTATGGGTGTGGGCTTTTTAATTTTCATTCAATCTTTTAAACATGTTCCTCTTCTCTCTTGCTTGCATGACTTTTGAAAAAAAAAATTCCTTCAATTCTTAACTTTTTAACTTAATAGGAGATTTTCATTCTCCTCTGACTTCCTTCAGGATTTTCTATTTGTCTTGGTTTTCTTTAGTTTAAAAATGATATTCCTAAGTATAGAGTTTTTTTGTTAGTTTGTTTGTTTGTTTTACTGGGGATTGAACTCAGGGGCACTTGACCACTGAGCCATGTTCCCAACTCTATTTTGTATTTTCTTTAGAAACAGGGTCTTAGTGAGTTGCTTAGCTCCTTGCTTTTGTTGAGGTTAGCTTTGAACTCTTGATCCTCCTGTCTCAGCCTCCAGAACTGCTGGGATTATAGGCGTGCACCACTTTGCCTGGTGCCCTAGTTATAGAGTTTTAGGCATTTATTCTTTTGGTGTTTCAGATACATGGATATGTAGTTTGTTATCTTTCATTAAATTTGAAAAGTCTTACATCAAATATATTTTTAAATATTCCAATTTTTTCTTCTTTTTCTAGTATTCCAATTTTGCATATTATAGCTTTTGAAATTGTTCCACTGTTCTTGGATACTCTTTTTTTTTTCCATTTCATTATGGACAGTTTCTATTGACATATCCTCAAGTTCAAGTGATTCTTTCATCAGCTGTGTACATCAAATTCACTCTTAGCTTTTGTTACAGTCTCTTTTTTTATTTTTAGCACTTCTTTTTTTCTTCTTAGAGTTTTCATCTCAATGTTTATGTCCACCTGCTGTTGCAGGTTGTCTTCTTCTATATTAGAGCACTTAACATCTTAATCAGAGCTATTTTAAATTCCAGGTCTGATAATTTCAAAGTCTGTCTTTTGATGCATGCTTTGTTTCTTTGGACTTCCTTTTTGCATTCCTTCTAGCACCTTTTGGAGGCCAACCATGATATAACTTACAGTAACAACTGAGATAAATAGACCTGTGATGGGAGGTTTGAGGTTGACCTGCCTATGAGCTGGGCTGTATTTAATGTCTCTTGTAGCTAGAGGTTCCATGGACTTCAAATTCCTCTAGTGTACTTATTTTTGTCCTCACAGTTGTCTTTGAGTTTCCCTAAGAACTCCTTAAAGAAGCTGAAACTCTTTGAACTGCCACCTATCATTATACTGAGACCCTTATACATGGGCCATTTATGTTGAAGAGTGGGTGGGGGACAGCATTCTACAGTCTTGTCTCAATTTTTAGTGGGCCTCTGCCTGTGGTTGTGAGTTCCATAAGAGTTCTTATCTGGGCTGGGGATGTGGCTCAAGTGGTAGTGCGCTCGCCTGGCATGTGTGCGGCCCAGGTTTGATCCACAGCACCACATACCAACAAAGATGTTGTGCCCGCCGAAAACTAAAAAATAAATATTAAAATTCTCTCTCTCTCTCTCTTAAAAAAAGAGTTCTTATCTTTTTTCCTCCCTCTGCTTCTAATGTGAGACAAGACACTAAAGAGGACTGGAGTTCAACCATTGTTCTTCTGCCTAGGTGAGATAAAGCTCTGGTAAAGTCTATTTTTGCACTGGAGTGTAGCATTCTGTCATGGAGAACATACTGAGTATATTTCAAAATGATTATTTCTTCCTTCTTCTTGTCAAAGACCTAAGGTGATTTTCCTTTGTCCTTGTTTATGAGAATCTGCCAAAGTTCCTGGAGGTAAAATCCTGATAAGCTTAGCTTGGGGAGCTTTTTACAACTGGAGTCTCCAGGAAATTTTTATTCTCATGTTAGTATACACTCAGCCTACAGCAATTGATCCAAACCATTATTTAAGTGTTCCCACCAATTTATGTCTCAGATGGCTTCTGTTTGGTTAAGCTAGCTAATCTTTCCCGAGTTTCTTTCTCTCTGTCTCTCCAGATTTTAGAGTGTCTACCCAGCAACCTAAGTTCTCTAATGATCCAAGGAGTCATTGATTTTCAGTATGTTCAGCTTTTTCTTATTCTGAGGATAGGACTGACAACACATAAACACTGACCCGTGTGAATCAAATCTAAAGGTCTCTTCACATTCACTTTGTAGCATTCCAAAACTTCTTCAAATAAGAGTCCTTGACAAATGACCTGTATAAATCTAAGGTACAATTATTGTTAAAATTGTGTGAATTTGATAGACTGTTGTCATCTTGGTAAAGGAGGAAAGGGTTTGCATCATTTTGAATGATAAAAGAAGAGATTCCTTCTCCTCTCTGATGGGCTGGCTGAAAATGTGCTTTCTGTATAGATGACTTTGGGGCCTTCAGAATCGGAAGTGAAGTGAAGCAAATTGGGAACAAATACTGTTTTATCACAATTAGATTGTGAATTTAGCTCTATGGGCCATTTATCCTCCCCTGGAAGCTTGCAGAGACAGAGTGTTAAAAATCTTCCACCTTTGGCAAAATGCACAGCAAATAAAATGACATTTGCCTGGCCCTTCCCCAATCTGAAGGCATCAAACCAAGGGAAGTGAAAATGGAAAATCACAGCACCTCTTAACTCAAGGAAATATACTCAAGCTTACAGTCTGGAAAATTACCATGAGTATGCATGTGCAGCTTTAGACAGGACTTTAACAGGAGGCAGGACCAGTGTAATTTGTTTCAGAGTATGTCTTTAGTCTTATCAGTGAGACATTAAGCATGTCCACATAATGCGATTAGTGGATATTCAACTAGGCTATGATACAGCCATGAAATGTCAGACTGAGGAAGAGTCTATGGGGGGAATATGGCTATGATTTCTTCCATTAGATTTTATCAGAAGCAGCCAGAGGGCAGCACAGCAATTTGGTTTTAAATGCCAAAAAGCTCTCTAAACAGATCTTTATGCCAAAGAAATGAACTGCAGATGGTGTTTCTTATTCAAGGTTCACAGACGCCTCCCACAAACACCAGACAAAGATATAGTCAGGCATTCAAGTGAGTATAAGAATAAACATCTAGAATTTAGAGAATTTGTCTGAAAAAATGGCAGCAAAACCTGGACTCACTAATTGTAGCAGGCAAGAAAAAAATGAGCATACACAAAGTACACAGATTTATTATGTAGCACCCTTTTATAAAGCACCTCCAGTCCTAAGCAGAATCAGGATTCTTTTAGAAAAAAAGGTAAATAATAAAGTAGTATACAGTATCATGTGCATTGTTTTTTTTTTTTAACTCACTATCCCAAATACTTTTAAGGTATTGTTTTAAAGTCAATCCAGCTTTAGTACAAAGGCCTGCACTTTCTATTTTCAGAAATGGCCCCTGAAATGTTAAAGTACAGAATGGTGACCCCAAACCCATAAAGACAGATGTGTTTCCATTCACATATTGGGACTCTAAAGAATGAGTCATATAATTCAGGAAGTTTATTTCTTCAAGTTATTTTTTCCCTAATCCCTGGGTAATCCTATTAAGAAGAAAATTCCTTTATCGTTCAATATTTTAGCAAATGTGTTCCTTTTATCTATTATACTTTGGCCTAAACCATAGTCTGTTCTATTCAAGGGCATTTGAGAATTCATTCCACGAAACAAAGTGAGTTAGCACCAAGATTAAATCTCCTTACTTTATAGCAATATTGTAAATTTAAACTGAGCTAACAATCTTATTGCATCATTCTATAGTTATGAGCTCTTGTCCAGAGCTCCTGGTCCATAATACATGGCCCATTTTTTTCTGAATCCCAAATCAATGTACATAAAAAAATGAAAATGCTTTTGTGGATTGGTGATAGATTATTTAAAATGTTAGTTTTTCTAAAAATTTCCAGATAGTCAGTCACTTGATCCTCCATTGTTCTTTTCCATTGGCTTGGAAAAGTTTGGAGACCTTGCTAAGGGACCACCATATCCACTTGTTCTTTCATCTAAGCTTCAGCCTTTACAGCTAACAATGTATTTGAATAGAGCAGAATCACTTTTTCTAAATTAAAGATGTGTCTTTTTAATGTCATGTGATAGACCACAGTATGTTTTTCCTTTTCTGACAGATCCCTCACTTAAGTCAAGGTCATAGACTTTTCACCAACTGGCCTCACCTCAAATGAAGTTTTTGACCCATTCAGAATCTGTAATTAACAAAGGCGAAAAGCTTTGATTGCTTCTGATTCATGTTAAGGTCAATCAGTGGAAATAATACTTTCAAGCCAATTTATGAAAGCCCAGAATGTCAGTAGTTACTCATTTTGGAAAAGGGAGTAGATAAAAATAACAAAGATAGAGGCAAGGCTTCAAGGCTTGGTATTTTGTTTCTGAGATTATTTTTTTTCCCACTTAAAGACAAGCTAGCATGTTTTGTACTTTTTCAAAACATAAAACAGATAATAGTGTGCTTCATTTGATGTTATATGGAAAATTGTTTATGGATTTTTTGCTCTTTTCTATTTTAAAGTGGTTACTATTATTATTAATATTATCAGTTCAGTATATTTTTTCACTTATCCAATTCTTTCATTCAATACCTATTCCTTAAGCATCTTTAAAAAGAATGCACAATGTGACTTCTCTCTTTCCCTTCTTTCTCTTTCCCTATGTTCCCTTTCCAAGTAATCTTAATAACCCTAGTCATTTTTGGCATTCACTATTAGCTATTAAATAATAAACTTTTGCTGGTAAAGTAGAAGGGAATGTAAGTACAGACCTTTCCGTGGCTTGAGCCAGTCCTGGGCACAATTCTGAGCAGGGGCAGAATGTGTCTGTACCAATGTGTGCATTTGCATCAGTCCCCCTCTGCTTTCAGCACCTCCATGTAAACCTTCTGCTGCCCCATTCATTTTTTCTTTCCTCCTTGAATATCTGTATCCTTATAGTTTCATGTGTGTATATGTCAAGCAGAAACCAAGCAACTAGAACCAGATGACCTTCTGTTTTGCTTGAATGCCTAGATATCTGAGGAGGCTGAACTTCAGATGAATGAATGGATCTGGTGCTCTCTTAGTGAGGTCTCAGACTGTCCAACCCAATGGAAAAGAACAATGGTAGATACAGTGAGTATCCATCCTAAAATTCTTAAGGAAAACCTAACATTTTGAATAATCTGTTATTAACCCATAAAAGTATTTTCACACCTATCAGGTACTAAAATTTAGAAAGTGGCCTATCTATTAATATCTTTTCAAGACATAAGCTAATAGTGGCTTAACTATGGTCACTGAAATGATGTTTTCCTATTCATAGGAAGAATTGAAGGGCAAAAATCTTCAGGATCCAAAGCAATAAATCTTTAGTACTAGAATTTCAGGTTACTTGAGGTCTTGAAGGAGATAAGATTTCTTTTTGGCCTGAGGATGGCCTGGCACACCTCATTTCACACCAAGCAATCCATCACTCATTCTGCCTACAGTTAAGGTACAACTGATCCTCTTTGTTTACAGTGCTTGACAGCTGATCATTTCTTCAAACTCTGGTAAGTACACCCCTGGGCATAGTTGTATTCAATTGAGGTAGAAGGAAAATAGAAGAGTCACTAAAGCTACAAGCTACTTATAAGTCCAAGTGATCTTAGGGGAGTAGATCCTCTTGGGTTAGATTCTGCCCCCGTTCCCAGTTTGACATCAGGAAATCTATACACTACTTTCAGAGCAGAGACTGTGTCTTACGTAACTAAGTATCTCTCAACACACCTTATACACATAGGTGTTTAATAATTTGTTAGTGATGGGAAGTTACAAAAATGGTGATCACTTTGTTCATTAGATCTTTCTCTCTCTCTCTCTCTGTGTGTGTGTGTGTGTGTGTGTGTGTGTGTGTGTGTGATATATCTTTATCCAGGGCCTTGTACATGCAAGGCAAGCACTCTACTAACTGAGCTATATCCCAGCCCTGTTTATATTTTTGTCGCTGTGAATCTAAACATCAGGGAGCAAAAGACCAATAATGGTTACTTCCTTTGCTTTTATTTCAAGTTATCAGAGATGGTTATTTCGAGTAAGAACTTGAGCATTCAAAACAGAATATATCAAGAGAGACAATGTTTTAGTCAGCCATTTTGCTGCTGTGATAAAAGGACCCGGCCAGAACAATTTTAGAGGAAGAAAAGTTTATTCGAGGGCTCACCATTTCAAACGTCTTAATCCATAGAAGGCCAGCTTCATTCCTTGGGGCTCCAGGTGAGGCAGAGCATTATGGAAGAAGAGTGCGGCAGAGGGAAACAACTCACATGAGATCAGGAGGCAGAGAGAGAGAGAGAAAGAGACTTCGCTTTCCATATACAAAATATAGACCCCATAGTCACGCCCCCCCCCCCATGAGCTATTTCCTGTAGCCACACTCCACCTGCCTCCAGTTACAACTCAGTTAATACCATCAGGGATTAATTCACTGAACAGGTTAAGGCTATAACCTAATCATTTCTCCTTCAAACTTTCTTGCATTGTCTCACACATGAGCTTTTGGGGGACATCATATCTAAACCATAATAGATACAAATAAATGTATTCAAATAAAACAATTGGAATTTTTATACATTTGGTAGCCAATAAATAAAAACAAAAGTAGAAGACGACAATATTAGTGTGGATATAGTAGGATCTATTTACTATTTTATTCCTGACTACAGAAATAACACATTCACTGGGAAAAAACTTTAATGTGGGGTAAAACTTTTAAAAAATTGATATCTAAAAATAATCACCATTGACATTTTGGTGAATAGCTTTCTGGTTTTTTTTTCAATGATTATCAACATAAATTTTTGTTTGTTTTGTTCGGAGATGGAAGCATACAGTTTTGTAGCTTCCCTACTTGACCTTGGCTTGCCATAATAATAGATAAAAATCTTAAGTGTATAAAAATTCCATGCCTCAAATTTGCTGGGAATGATGGACATTTACGCTGTTACTATGCTGCCACAAACATAACAATATTGAAATTTCCTGCTCTTTACCAGCTTTCTAGAATATACTTTCATGCTTCTGAAGTGAGGCTGTGAACTTGAATGATTGCCAGGTAGGTTGGTCCTGGGCTACTGCTGAAATCTCATTCTCTATATCTTCAGGAGGGAGGGAGCATGCTACTACCCTTTGTAAATGGGACAATGCTCTTTGAAAAACTGAAAGTAGTTTTTCAGGCAACTTGAGAAAGTACATATCTTACTACCTCCTTGCTTCATATCTTGGTTTCCCTGAAAGATGTGGAAACACTTTTACCTTTTTCTATTCAACTCTTAATTTTCCTATAAGACACCCCACTTTCCAGATATATGAAAAAAATATTTGTTGAAATCCATGTCACGGTGAATGTTCTGTCTGCTCACAATAATATTGTCTTATGTGCAGTAGGAGTAAAATACTTCAAATTTAGGAACAAGGATTTTTCTGCAGGAGGACTTGCCATGTGAGTTGTTCTTCAATTATCTTTTTTTGGAAATAAACCCATTTGCTGATTTAATTCTAACTTTCATTATCCTGACTTTGCCACTGAAGCAGGAAGAAAACTGGTTTCTCTAAATATTATTATAAATATTTTTTTTATTCCTTTTTGACATCAAAGGAACTCTAGCATTCTGGAGTTGGGAGGAATTCAGGGACTACATAGCTATAGGTCCTTTACCTGAGATACTTGAATGAATGTAAGGAGTCCCTTAATCCTTAGAAATAATTTGCAGATATATGTGTGTTTATGTGTTTGTATCCATTTTTCTTGAGGACCAGATGTCCAAAGTTTTCATTAGATTCTCAAAAGAATCTATGATGGAAAAAAAAATGGCTGAAAATCATTCAAAAGTTCTCATTTTGAAAAAGAAATCCAGAAACATCACCCAAGATCAGATTTATGACTATTCAAATTACTTACATAACCAAACTAAATATAAATTCAATGCTTTTAAAGCAGATCAACATGATTTTAAACCATTTTTGTTGTGCTAGAAGGATAGCTGAGGTTGGAATAAGAAATCCTATGTTTGTACTCTGGTTCTGCCATTAAACTTGCCAAATATTTGAATTTGCTTGTCTATAAAATTTAAGTTAAAAATACCCCTTATAGAGTTGTTTAAAAGTCATAAAGAGTTTATGGGGTATAAGCAAGCTTATAATAGGCATAGACAAGACCTACATGTTGGGAATGGAACCTTGCAATAGAATATTAAGGGCATGGTTAAGAGAGTCTTATTTTAGCAAGCAGGTAGTACTTGCTAGTGAGTTTTCATTTACTTGGTTATAAATTAGGCCTAAGCACAGAACCTATTTATAGGGTTTGTATTCATCACCTTTTTTGTCACTATAATGAAAGCTAGTTATAGTTTGCACATAGCTACTTATGGAGAAAGAAGATTTCATTAGCTCATAGTTTGGGAGGTTCAAAGTCCAAAATGTGGTGGCCCTGTTGGTTTGGCTTCTGGTGAGACCCTAACAGCTGATGGTATCACTTCATGATAGGAATGCAAGTGAGCTGAAAGGATCACACTCAAACAGGAAGCCAGAGACAGAGAGAGGGAGAGGCTGCGCTTGCTCTTATAAAACCACCCTCTCATGAGAATTATCAAGAGGTCACACAGAACTACCTTAATCCCTTTCAAGGGTGGATCCCCAGTGAACAAAGACCTTCTACTATGTGTTAAAGTTTCCACCATCTCCTTGGACCCCCACCCTGGAGACCAAGCCTTTAACATATGGACCCTTGGGGGCTACTCAAACCATATCCAAGTGATAGTGGGGTTGTTATGAGGCTACACTACATAATCATTCTTATTGCTGGGGAAAGATTGATGTTTAAGTGTTTGATAAATGTTAGCTGTAGCTATTAATATTTTCTCATCAAGAATTTTGTATTATATTACTATAGTATATTACTTTGGATCATAATAATAACCTTATGAGTTATTAAAATATCTACACAAATTCATGTACACATGTATAAAAAATAAGCACATTCATTGTAAAGGATCAGATAAAATCCTTTTCCAACCTTATACATGGCACATGTATAATTCATAATGAAAAATCACATTAACTTTTATTTAAAAATTGCAATAAGCCTATATATTTATAGTCAGCTCTTTTCTGACAAGGGTACTGTTTTGGTCAGCTTTTTCATCATTGTGACCAAAAGATGTGACAAGAAAAATGCAGAAGAAATAAATGTTTATTTGGGGCTCACAGTTTCAGAGGTCTCAGTCCATAGATGGACTTCATTGCTCTGGGCCCAAGGTGAGGTAGAACATCATGGCATAGGAAAGCACCTCAGGACATGTCAATCAGTAAGCAGAGTGAGAAATACACACACACACACACACACACACACACACACACACACGGAGAGAGAGGGAGGGAACTCCATTTACCAGGGACAAAATACAAACCCCAAAGGCACACCCCCAGTGACCTACCTTCTCCAGCCACACCCTACCTGCATACAGTTATTAACCAGTTAATCCACATCAGTGTAGTAATCCACTGATTAAGTTAAGACTTTTATAACCCAATAATTTCACCTCCGAAAATTCTTGTATTATCTATTAAACACATAAGCTTTTGGGGGACACCCCTTATCTAAATTATAACAAGTGCCAGGAAAACTCAGTGAGGGAAAGAATTCTCTTTTCATAAATAGTCCTGGGAAAATTGAGTATCCATCTACAAAGGAATGAAATAGACCCTCTACACTAGGACTTAAAATTAACTAAAAATGGATCAAAGACCTGCACATGAGAGCCAAACCACTTCCCTACCCTACTCACATCCTTGTGGTGGTGTAGGACATAAGCCCCCCTTTCAGGAATTAGACATGCAGAAGACAGCCACCACCACACGTGCTTCCTTAAAGATCTTTTGGTTTTCTTTTGATCATCCATCTTCCCTATGACCCAACCAGATTGTTTGCCACTATCCCTACCATTCAAAAGAAGAAACAAGGAGAAAAACCTGAAAGTCCAGAATCTACTGAATGCTCCTCATCTCCACTGTTACCATCCTCTTTCACTTGGACTATGGTCCCAGCTAACCACCTGGTTTCCTGGCTAGGCTTCCACAGATTTTGCCACACAACATCCAGTATTCCTTTTAAATGTAAGATCTTGTCATTTCTTCCCTTGAAACTATGGAAGACTTCCCATCTTAGAATAGATGTTCAAGCTTCAGCGTTTAATGGGTCTACATCATACTCACCCCACCTTTCTGATCCCCTTCCCAGCACTCTCTCCCTTGCTTTCTCCAGTCCCACTACACTGGCCAAGAGAGCTCCAGCTTACTTTTGCACTTACTCCATCTTCTATCTGGAATATTTTCTCCCCAGATATCACCTCTGAACTTCATGAAGTCCCCATCACCTTATCAGAGAGATCACAACCACACCTTGCCACCATCACTCTCCATTCTCTGTACTTTATTTTTCTTCAAAACACCTTATACAACCTGAATTACCACACACTTGTTTCTTTTATTGCTTATCTTTTCTCAAGTGAATGGTAATACAGTAATAAGATCACGGCTTACAGATAGTACCCAATCTATAATATTTCAATTTAAGATTTTTTTTTGATGGTTTGATGGTACAAAAGTAATAGACATTAAAAGAAAAAGCCTTACAAGGCTATAAAATTTTGTGTCCTAAATTCCTGTTCTCTTAGAACTCCTTTCCCCTGCACAAAGAGAAAATTCCAACGTTTTACCAAAGAGAAGCCAGAGTCAAATAAATGGTCCAACAGAGGCATGTTTGACAAAGGAAGATTCAGAATCAACAGCATTTTAGAAAAAGATAAGAGTGCTGCTTCCAAAGAGGAGCAAAGGAATCAGACATCAGAAATAATTGTCTTCACTAAATAAAATACAGTATGCATTCAAAGGCAGAAATCCAAGATCTCCAAGGGTTCTAATTCATAATAGTCCTAACATGTTGGGAGAAAAGGAAAACAGAAAACTTTGACAATTATTACAGCCACCAGGACATTTTTTCAGACAGACTTGCATAAAATTATTTCCTTAAACATGAAATGTTCAATGCTTCATTCATTTTAGTGAGCAGAACTTGACAGGCTAGCCAATTCTAGTGTTGTGTGTGTGTGTGTGTGTGTGTGTGTGTGTGTGTGTGTGTGTGTGTGTTTCCCTTCTGAAGGTGGATCATGATATACACATACATTTTTTATAATGGCAACAGGGTAGTGTGTCCGTTTTGCCTTCACACAACTGAACAAATGACTCAGAACAATTGGTAGTAAAAGAATAGCAACTATAAATTAAAGCAAGGCACTTGTCATATTATGAAAATGTTAGATTCAAACCTATGCTGGTACTAGATATTGATGAGCAAACAAAGTGGGGGAATGAATTAAAACTCTCAAAAAATGTTCTTCTGATATCAACCAATTGTTCAGAAAGGATTAGATTTTATTGATAATTAATAATTTCTTTGATTTGATCAATTATTACCTTTTACAGAGTTCAGATTTCAGTTATTGGAGGAGGTAAGCCATTTAAGTTTGGACATAGTTTAAGAATAAGTCTGTATTAGAGTATTTGGTAAAGGTGAAAAGTTTCTTTGAAACAGTTCTAAACCTCACTTCATGATATGTGTTAGTATTTTGGCATTTATCCTTCTTTTGTTTCCTAAATGGTGTAAAAATGTTCTTAAAGAAAAATAATATTGAACAATTTGTATCTATAAAATCTTGGCCAAGGGTTAGAGGGTAGACTGGTTCACTATGGTAGTCAGCCCTTATATTTGGGGGTGACCCCCAGTGAATGCCTGAAACCATAGGCAGTACCAAAGCATACATCTATATCTACACTATGTTTTCTCCTATACATACATACCTAAGGTAAAGTTTAATTTATAAATTAGGCACAGTAAGTGATTAAACAATAAGTAGTAATAAAATATATTATAAAATATACTATAGTAAAAGTTATATCACTATTGTATCCTCTCTCAAAGTCTTATTGTACTATACTCACCTTTCTTCTCATGATGATGTGTGATGATACAGTGCCTAACTGATGAGATGAAGTTGAGATGAATGCTGTAGGTGTTGTAACCTCGGCATACAACTTGTTTTCTTTCCTTATTAACTCCAGAGCTTTCACCTTTTTATTTAAAGGAAGCATTTTATGATTTCTCTTTGTCATATCCAAATTGCCAGTATCATTACTCTTCTGCTCTTGGGCCATTATTAAGTAATATGTATTAGGAAGTTTTCTATTGCAATAACAAGATACCTGAAACAACTTAAAAAGAGGGGAAACTTATGGTTCCCAGTTTTCAGAGGTTTTAGTTCATTGTTGCTTAGGTCCATTATTCCTGGTCTATACTGAGGCAGAACACCATTGGAAGGAGCACATGATAAAGCAAAACGATTCACTTCATGGTGGCCAGGAAGGAGAAAGAGACAGGGAGTGGACTGTGTCAGAGACAATATAGAGCCCCTTCAAGGCCACACCCCCAAGGATCTACTTCCTGCAAGCAGGTCCCACTTCCTAAGTTCCTACCACCTTTGAATAGCATGTATCCTTTGAATAGCCCATTAAATGATGACTCCGCCAATGGATCAATCCTTTGATGAGGTTAGAGCCCTCATGATCCAAACATCTTCCAAAAACCCCACCTCTGAACACTACTACCTTGAAGACCAAGCCTTCCTCTCATGAGCTTTTGGGTGACATTTCAAATCCAAACCATAACAAGTAAGGATTACTTGAACACAAGCACTATGATACCACAACCGTTGATCTGATAACTGGAGGTGGCTGCTAAGTGACTAATGGGCGGCGGTGTGTACAGCACAGATACACCGCACATGGGGATGATTTATGCCCCAGGTGGGATAGAGCAGAACCATGTGAGAGTTCATCATGCTAACCAGAACAGTGTGAAATTTAAAACTTATTGATTATTTATTTATAGAATTTTCTATTAATTTTTGGAGCTTGATTAACTGTGGATGAAAGGAAAACTGCAGGTTGTAGGCACCACTCTACTGGATTATTCTCACCTGTGCCCTTCTCTGGGAAAACCATGGCTCACTCTTAGCTTAACTTAAATGAAATATACTCTATTCCTATGCTGGTGTCCAAGACAGACTGGGACAGTCTGCACCACTTTATCAGCATTGTTTGTAGAAAATGTATGCATAGATTATTTGCACCTAGTTTATATTTCTTTGATTTCTATCATTGTGTCTTGGGCAATGGGCAGGATTTAGTTATGTAATCAAAGGATTATAAAAGACTAATCTTTGGACAAGTGATTCTTCTGAAACCAAGTGGTCTTTACATATATCTTGGTGATCTGAACTTAAAAATAAAGCATATCCTATGAAACTGAGAAAGGACATAGGAATCTGTGCCTAGAAATATCATTCCTCTTTGATATTTTCTATTTTTTTTTCTTTATTATAACCTCTTATCATCATTCACCAGATAAATCTGCTTTAAATTCTTTGAGTATTTCAATGAAATTAACATAATGCATTAAAATAGATTGGAAATAATGATCTAGAGCTTATACATTATTATGTTAATTAACTTTTATTGTCAATATTATAATTATATAATTACATTACAGGTTGTATATTATATGCTATCTTTAAATTTTTATAGGTGTTCCACGTCTGGGATAATAGAATAGAATGAGTTCAGCCTCTCATCCGTACAACCTCAGGAAGCCACACATCCTTTCATTTGTCAGCTCCTGCATAACGGCTGCAGCAATGTGTTAGTTTTTCTAAACAGAATGACTCAGAAAGATTGTTAAAGAATAGGCAAAGATGCATCTGGCAACTGCAAAAACAAAGGCAAGCAGGCATCACCTGATTAATACCAGGCAGCTCCTGATTCATGAATATCAGCTTTTAATGGGACAGAGATGAGTTATCATGAAGAACAGCACAATTCACAATGGCAGTATAACCGTGAGCCTTTTTGAAAAACACCATCTTTATGTGAACATGAATCAAACACAAAACTCAGAACCAGGAAGGAAGATGGCCTGTGATCACTGGACATGCAGCTCTCATTGTGTCCTCTCGGTCCTCCACACAATTGTGGCCCAGTGACCGTGAGCTCAGGCTCTGAAGAAGAAAGCCAAGCTCCACATCCTAGATCTTGATTCTCACCTATGTGACACTGCTCTAGATAACTAATTTTTCTTCCATATAAATAAAGTGGGGATGATGATCTCTACCTCACTGGTTATGATTTGGGTTTAATGAGACCAATGAGATACTTACACATCAAAGTGCCTGGAATTTTACTAAAGCCAAATAAAAGTTAGATAATATCATCATCATCATCATCATCAATATAAAGCCTTGTTCACAGAGTAACCTCTTTTCCTCCATAATCTTTTAGGTTTGTTGGCCATTGGGATTGTGGAAACAATCCATGTGTTAACATCCATGTGTTAGTCTGCTTTTCATTTGTGCGATGAAAGAACAACTTAGAGGAGGAAATGTTTATTCTGGACTCACAGTTTCAAAGGTTCAGTCCATGATCATTTAATTCCATATGGCAAGGCAGAACATAGTGACAGAAGGACAAGGTCGGGGAGCTGCCACTCAGAAAGGGGAGGGGAAGGCAGAGAAGGAGAACTTTTCTAGGGTATGTCCCCCGGGACCCACTTCCTCCAGCCATGCCCTCCCTGCCTACATTACCATCCAATGAATCCATTTAAACTAGGATGGGCTCATTAGGTTTCAGATCTCATAATCCAGTCACTTTAACTCTGAATATTCATTCATTCACACAGGATCTTTTTGGGGGACACCTCCAATCTGAATCACAACAACCCATAATTTAAGAATTCCATCTCATAAAGAGAGTTTCCATGAAAAAGCAATTTGGGCCTCTTTGTCGGCATGATTAAAAAAAAATATATAGAAACTTTGTACCTGAGAATTATGGTCCCCAAAAGATAATTTCTTTTATCATATTTCCATTATCCTATTTAAATTGACTAATAATAATATTTAAATCAAAATATCTGTGGAGCAGAATAACTTGATTTCTTTGACCTTTTCCACGTTCTGCCACTTAGTTAACAGAAACAATTATAAACCAGTTATGAGTATTTAACAATTCAAATTTTGGAGTTGGACTCAAGGCAAAAATACCACAATTACCCAAATATTTTCATAATCATATTCATAATGGTTTTATTGAAAAAAGTATTCTGCTATGAAAATGTAATACTATTTTTAAATGCTTCCTTGGGGATAGAAAACACTCTTCTACTTTGCTCTAGTATTTTATTTGTTTGTTTGCAGTATGGGAATTGAAGTCAGGGCCCCACATATGCTAGTCAAATGCTCTAACACTGAGCTGCGTCCTCAGCCCTTGCACTGGTAATTTCAAGTTCCATCTACAAATCATTTCCAATTGAATTTATTATTTTTGGAGAACCACATATGTAAATTAAATGCCATCATTTTTGTTTTGCTACATATAATATTTTTGCCTCTTTCATTTTTCTGTGGAGACCTATTAAGCAAAATCTTTGGGGGAAATTTTTAATTTGAGATAAGGCTTGTATTTCCATTCACAAAAAAATTAATTTTATGCTGGCTATGTCTCAGAGGAACTAGAATAGGCTTAAAATCATTATATGAAAATCAGTGTTTGATTTTTATGAGCTTGATTTTTTTTTAGCTAAAAAAGAACTCTAGGGAACTGATATCAGATAAATATTTAGAGTTATTTTAAATTAGGTTACCAGAGTCATACAAATTAAAATGTCTATGGGTTGACATTTATCCATCATTTTCTCTTTTTACTTTTGAGAGCACATGAGTGAAATAAGGACACTTTATTTTACAGTAAAAAAAAAATCATCATTTGCTTAAGTGAGTTAGTATTTGTAGGGCTTCTAACAGCTAATTTTCTTCAATAGACTGAGCAGTTCCTGATAAAAAATACTATATGCAGGATGAGGTGAAAGAAGGAAGGATGTAAGATGTAAGGAAGTGTCCAGGTCAGTTAAAATCATTAGACAGTTAGAATAAGCAAGACCTTGTATTAAAGGTCAAATGAACAATTCAAAAATATAAATGAGATCACATTTTTATATAAATTTGAAATTGAACAGTTCAAAATTAAGAACATTCACATTTTACCCTCTATACATTATAAAAATGTGTCCAAATATCACAACTGGCTATCTGGGTGTGTTGTAAATTATGTTTCTGCTGTGGGAAAATGTTGGCACCACTTTAGCTGGTAAATAGAATTGCCCAATGTTCTTTGTTAGAATTACTTACTATTATTTATAAACACGTGATTTTAATGTCTGTTGAGCTATTATTTTAAGACTCCTTATTATTATAATTTAAATGCTTTTTTTTTTCTTTTTACAAAATCATCTAAGCCATTCATTATGTGGTCATGCTGGGATAAATACTAATGCTGATGTTAAAAATCATGCCTGGAAACCAAGAACTTTGGTATGCAAAATAGAAATGATGACTAAAACACACAAAACTCAGTAAAGCAATCCCCACCCCTCAAGAATTTCTGCTAAAGATTAGGGACAATGTTGAAAAATAAAAAAATAAAATTAAAGCCAATCTATAGTGGTTATAGATTTATACAACAAATAAAAAATACATCTCCTCTATGATGATATTCCTATGAAAATATATCAGTTTTTAATTTTATGAGGTCTTCAAATATGTTCTCTAGAAAAGGCAAATATATAGAGACAGAAAGTAGATTGGTGATTGTATGGAGGAATTAAACTAGTGTAAGCAGGATGAGGAATATTATTGGGGCAAGGAAATGTTCTAAAACTGGATTATAGTGATGATTTAGCAACCTCGAATATCACTAAAAATTATAAAACTGGGCTCTTAAAATGGGTAAATTTTGTTCTATGTAGAAAAAATATTTATAGGAAGGGAAATGACTATGGCATTAATCTATTGGCTCAACTAGCTAGCTATGTGAGAAAGTCAACTTCATTTGAGTCCTGAGGAATGATTAGGAATTAGATAGTATATTAATTTTATATTGTTGTAACAGATTGCCTAAAATTTGGTAATTTAAGACATAAATGTATTATATTTCAGGTCTGGGGGTGATAAATGTAAAATGAGACCTATGGGGCTAAAATCAGGATGTTCACAAAGCTGTTTCCTTCTGCAAGCTCTAGAGCAAGACTTTTCCTTACCTTTTTCCAGTTTCCAAAGACTTCCAGCGTTCCCTGTCTTTTAACTGCTTTACTGCAATCTCTGTTTCCACTGTTACACCATCCTGCTGTCTCCCCTTGGCTCTCCTCCCTCCCTCTTATAAAGATCTTTGTGATTACATTTAGAGCTTCCCAAGTAATCCAGGATAATCTCCCCCAAATCAAGATGCTTACCTTAATCACATCTGCAAAGATGCTTTGGCCATATAGGGTAACACATTCACACGTTCAGAGATTAGAACATGAGAAGCTCTGGGGCCATTGTTCAGCCTGCAACAGATGGGTAGAGAAAAGAAGACACACAACTCTGATATATTCATCTTTGTTCTCTCCATGCTTAGTAAGGCTTTCCAAAGCAATGAAAGGTACAAACATGGGCATGAACAATATGTGTCCTGGTGATTCTGGCTGGATTGTTAGATGTGGACTGAAGGACCACAGCATTTAGAATGATAGGAAGTGAAGGAGGGGAAAGGCAGTTTGAGGCTACATTACCGAGTGCCCCCTCAATATCAGACCATGTTTTAGATTTAAACTAGTAAGGAACTATTCAAGACTTTAGGTTAGAAAAACATTGGGAAGTGATGGTGACAGGGGATTTTGCTGCAAGATTAACCTGGAGAATACAATCAGACCAGAGAGGAAATACTGGAGGTGAATGCACATTTAAAAGCTATTTCAATTATCCAATGACAGAGCTGAAGCTTTAGTTATGATGATTATTTAAAAAAATAAAAATTAAAAAAGGAAGGCCGAAGAAAGAATTGCCAGTTCCTTAATAGTTGAGTTATAATGAAGAGGTATATATGTAAAATTGATTGTGTTTGTGCTGCAAGGAATTGAGATAATTAAATGAAAGTTGTTTATTTTCTCAAATAACAAAGAATGAAGGAAGGTGACTGTGAATTTACTTAAAGCAACTTCCCCTATGATCTTGTAGCAAAGTCCAGATGGGAATTAGCTCTATCTTTTCAAAATAAAGAAGTGGGAGACATGAACACAAATAAACAACATCTCCCTTCCAAAAGGGAAGGGTCTGATAGAATGCTTTTCTTAGGAACTTTTCAGAGTTTCTCAGCAATAAGTAACATGTGGCTAGAAGTTCGCTATCCTTTGAAAGACCTTGAGAGAGGTCCAATTATCAAGTCAGGCCCTGCACAAAGCTCTCAGCCTCAGCCCACTGCAGATCCTTTGTTATCTATTGATTATATCTGCAATTGAAGTTGGAAAGTGTGAGGAATAGGAAATGTGTTTTGTAATGACCACTTAATGCCTTTTTTTGGCCATGTCTATTTCTTCTTTCTCACTACTTTCTTAAGAAAGAAAGAAAGTCAAGAGATGGTTAGGTCATCTTTGGTGGTCACAAATGGGCAGGAAGCAAAGTAAAAAGCTCTTCTGTACCAACATCCTTCCTTTATGATTACTCACAGCTAGCTGAAAATCTTTTAAAGTTCTTATTACGGCAGAAATGACATTGCAGATAGGGTGAAGTAAGCAGTTAATGGACAACAAGCGATTATCGAAAAATGGCAAATTATCAAAAAATAGAAAGATATAAACCAATAATCCTATAATTAGCCAAATAACACAGTTTATAAAATGAGACTATATGACTTTCAAGATATTCCAAGATTACCAATATTGTCATGATAAGCATTAATTCCATTTTTCCACTATTACTTTTAAAAAGAAGCTTCCCCAGAGTGCACACATGATTATTTTTGTGTGACATTCATTCTGGTCCAGACTTCCCAATCAACCTCTTCTGTCATTATGGTTTCTATAATTTTATGAGGGAAGAAGTCGTGTTTTATGGATTGGATCTGAAATATCAAGATCCAATCCAATCAAAGGCTCATAAGTTGAGGACCAGTCTTCAGTGCAATATTGTTCATGAGTGGAGCTTCTTCGGGAGAGTGATTGGATCATAGGGTTCAGACCTCAGGGTTATCTCATTGATAGCTGAATGGGCTACTGGGAAGTAGTGGAGGCTGTAGAGGTG